AAAAAATGTTGTTTTAATTGACAAAGACTTCTTTGAAAATAGATGAAATACTTCTTACTTATAAAGTGATTGTCAAATTAGTGTGTTATTGTTTTAGAATTTGTATTTTAAAATCAGCTTGAAAATTCTAATTCATCAAAATGTTAAAGTTTTATTTTGTAGAATTGGCATGACCTCAGGTTTTTTTTTTTCTTTTCCTGGTTTCTTTCTTTCTTTCTTTTTTTTTTTTTGTTTCATTTTGTTTTTTGAGCTGGAGTCTTGCTCTGTCATCCAGGCTGGAGTGCAGTGGCACAATCTCGGCTTACTGCAACCTTCTCCTCCTAGATGCAAGCAATTCTCCTGCCTCAACCTCCCGAGTAGCTGGGATTACAGGCACCCGCCACCACGCCTAGCTATTTTTTGTATTTTTAGTAGAGACAGGGTTTCACCATGTTGGCCAGGCTGGTCTCGAACTCCTGGCCTCAAGTGATCCGCCCGCCTCAGCCTCCCAAAGTGCTGGGATTACAGGCGTGAGCCACCATGCCCAGCCAAACTAAGTTTTCAAGGTGCTTTTTTTTTTTTAACTCTCTTAATTATACATGAACTTCATTTAAATGAAGAAATATAATTATGTAAGATAGTATCATAGTAATTTTTGATTCTTGCCTTTTTTTCCTCCCTTCATATGTAGAATTGCCAATGCCACTCCCATCCCAGGAGACTTGCTTCGGGAAAATACAGATGAGGTATTTCCAGATGAACAGCTTAGCGATGGAGAAAATGGCATCCCTGTTGGTGTGTCACCAGATAAATTGCCTGGATCTCTGGGTCACCCCCGTCCCCAGGAGAAGGATGTTTGGGAAGAGATGGATGCCAACAAAAACAAGATAAAGCTTGGAATTTGTAAGGTATCAGTACCTTATAAACAACAGAAATGTATTTCTTACAGTTCAGAAGGCTGGGAAGTCCAAGAAGGAAGGCTAGGCAGGTTTGGTATCTGGTGAGGGTTGTTTTGTGGCTCCTCCTTGCTGAGTCCTCATGTAGATGGGGAAAGGTCTCTGTTGGACCTCTTTTGTAAGGACACCGCTCTCATTCATGAGGGCTCTGCCTTCTTGACCTAATTACCTCCCAAAGACCCGCCTCCTGATACCCTCACATTGGGAATTTGAATTTCAACAGGTGAATTTTGGAGGCCACAAACATTCAGACTATAGCAGGTGTATATGTTCAGTCATGGGAGTCATTTGCAAAATGATCTCTGGATTGATGTGATATGCCACAATGTGATTTGGCTGTTGACAAAGCACAATCTGGACCAATAGTAGTCAGGAATGAGTAGTGGAAAGTAGACAGGGAGTCAGTGTCAGAGTTTTGTAGTATCAGCTGTGGCTGTCTTTATGGCACCAAGAACAAACTGTTCTTATAGCAAAAAAATCACTGGTGACATTCTCAGTTGTCAGCCCATATGGATATCTGTGTATGTGAGAGAATGAAATGGCACTTGACATAGAAGATCTTAGTTACTTAGTTTCTGTCTTTTACCCACTATCACTATTTAATCTGAGTGAAATTTGAATGGTAAATAGTTTTGACCCTAAGTCCATTATTTGTTATCATGTGCAGTTTATTGAATTTATAATATATAGTGCTGAACATTACAAGCTCTCATTTTGAACATCTGGCTAAGGCATTAAGCTAAATATTGAAGACAGTGTACTAAGCTAGGTGCTGTGCAGTTTAAGATACATCTTTTACCCTTAAGGAGCTTACAGTCTCTTTGGGTAGATATGTAGCTGCACAAGCAAATATAATACAAGACAGAACATTGTGCAAAACATTTAAAAGAATTAAAATGCATGCAGATGTGGTGGGAGTTGGGAACATGCCTTATGGAAGAAGTGGTTGAAGTAGAAGTAGAAGTAAAAATATGTACATGAGGGCCAGACATGGTGGCTCACACCTGTAATCCCAGCACTTTGAGAGGCCAGGGTGGGGGAGGGATCACCTGAAGTCAGGAGTTCAAGACCAGCCTGGCCAACATGGTGAAACTCTGTCTCTACTAAAAATACAAAAATTAACTTGCATGCAGATGGGGTGGGAGTTGGGAACATGCCT